AATAGTTTAAAAGATATAGCCTTGGGAAAGTAGTCTGCTGTAACGTTTAAGAACTATGAATGAGAAATCAGAAAATTATCTCCCTGTTGTGAAATTTTCATTCTGTGTTGTCCTTAATTCCATGCCTATAAATGAGGTCAACCAAGGTAGTGGAAGTAACTTGAGGATATTTACACAAGATCTGAGTGAAAATATTAAAGGCGGATCACTCATGCTACTATTATAGCTGAATATCATAAACATTTGATTAAGAAAAAAATCCAACTTAAGATGATGAGGAACTAACATATGCTTAGGTAAATCAGCATGTCTACTTTTCAAATACCTTTATTTTAGGAACAATTATATACATATATTCTTTGATAACCTGCTATTGCTATTTTACAGTGATCTGTCTCCAAGTACAAAATCACTTCCCATTTTTCTTTTCACAAGAAGTGTATCCATTTCAGTAGAACTCTTCCTCATCCTTTCCCCTACCTTTAAACAAAAGCAATTCTTCTGTGACCATGTCTCCATCACGTTAGTGCTGCTGACTAGCACTACAGACAGGGCAACTGGAAAATGAGCATAAGAGCATGGGACGGGCAACCTGTCCTGTAAAATAATGATGTTTAATGATGGAATAACATACTGCAGCCAAAGTCAAAATAACATTAATATTTAGATCGCATGTATGCACTAAATTAATTTATGCCTGCTAACATATTTTATAAGGATTCTCATTAGTTGTTTATTTCATAAATGAGAAATTAATACAAAGAGCTAGGTTAGCAGCATACCTTGAAAGAATAAAAATCTGTTATGTGTACCTGGTAACCTTTCCACAAATCCCTTCAAATAACCCCTGTTAGCCAAGTTGCTGAACATCAGCCAATTATCAGAAAGGTAAGATAAAAAAGGATTTAGAAAAAATCTATACTAAACTTTTCTATTTAAAGAAGATTGGTTATACATCTGTGCCCAGGGAATAGTACTTACTATGATAAAAACATATGGGGCCTTTGAGATACAATTTGTAAAGTGATTTATTTTCCTCGTTAATATTCATAGTAGGGAATAAAACCTTCACTTGAATGGGTGATGTAGTGTGCCTTCTCAGACCTACTAATGGATTAACTATACAGAGAAGATAGTTGCTGAGGTGGTCTTTGTCTTTATTTAAATTAATGGTTTACAGTTCTTTTTCTTTTTTTTTCATTTTACAGTGATCTGTCTCCAAGTACAAAATCACTTTCCATTGCTTTATGTCTGAAACTGTTTAAGGATAGATTAGAAATTAAAATTTAATTGGTATCCTGAGATTCTTTTTCTTTATAAATAAATTTGGAAACATTTCATTAACAGGGATAATGGAAATAAAGTTCATGGTGGATTTAGTAACCGAGGGCAAAGTTCACAAAAGCATATTGTCCACCTCACCACAGAGGATATGTGTAATCACCATCCTTTCATTTTTTTCAGAGGAAAAATTATTTAAAAGTTGTTATGAGGACAGGTTCTATGTGTTTAGGTTAATAAAATCTTAAAATCTTACATTTGACTTGTTGCCAGTTTAGTTGCTTGGGCAATTTTCATTACCTCTCTAGGTTTCTGATTTCTCATCTTTAAGAGAGGTTAATAAGATATTCATGTCATGGGGATAATTTTAAAGATCAAATGGATAAATGGATGTAAGCACTTAACACAGTATTTGGCACATAATAAGGGCATACAAATATTAGTTTTGCTTATTAGTTATTACTTATCAACAGTTAACAAATTCATATCTAGGAAAACTTGTTTTTAAAAAGTCACTAGCTATAATGAGCCTATTAATTCAGATAAAACCAGAGTATAAAAATTTTATATTTTGTGAAATCCACAAGGGAAATTATTAAAATGTGTCTGTTTTCTCTCACTGAAACATTCATTGTTTTTGTGAAGAGAATCGTGTATCAGTGTGAAAACAGTGAAGCAGAGCATCAATAATTGAGGCGGAGTTAATATTTCCACTCTAAATCTCCAATTCCCAGGCTTAATATATTCACAACTTAAACAAGATTAGAATATAAGTTGGGTTTTTAAGAGTTCAGATGTAAATTTTTTTCTAAGAATTATGATTCTTTTTCAATGTAACAATTGGATGTTTTATTTTAGTTATTTATAGCCATCCATTTTGATAAAAATATCTTTAAATATTCAAACAGCATGACTTAAAAATTGCAAATAAATAAAAAGCATGCATTAGAAGTGGGAAATGTCAGTGACATAGGCAAGGATCTTGGTAGGTTAACACATACTGAGAAAGAAGTTCCTGAAGAGATTAGTAAATTCACTTTGCTAAGATCAAGGGCCACAGCGAAGGCCACAACACAATATTTTAAATTCTTAAAGAATGTCAGAATCATGTAACTGAAGACTTTTCTATAGGACCAGATAAATGATCACATACAAATGCATTTCATTATCCTTAAAATAAGAGGTACAGTTTTTTAAAAAGAAAAGTTCCCCTAGTTTTATTGAGATATAATTAACATATAACATTGTGTATGTTTAAGGTATACCAATGTGATATAGATTTTGCTTTAACCCTTTAGAGCAGTGACCGGAAAGAAAAGGCTGAGGGATACATTTTCTGATATTTTTGGTCATTTGTCTAAGTTCCCCAGATCTGCTGACTCCCTATGACCTTCTCGTCTCCATACTTGTGCATTAGTCCAGAGAAAGCTGAAGCACAGTAAGATAAACAGAGGCAATGAAGATGGATGGGGCATCAGAGAAGCAATCTAGGAAGGAAGGTTTACAATTTGACCTTCTGATATACTTGGAACAGCATCATTAGCAGTTCTAATTACTTTTTTTTCAAGCAATTAGATTGTCTATTCTCAAAGACGGTCATTGCTTAGATTACCAAATTCTTACTTCTCTTAGTTTTTTTTTTTATTCATCTAGCTTATTTCCTAGTTGTCCTGGATTTTAAAAATCTTTATTATTTTGTTAGTTAAAAATACTCATCTGTAAAAGTTGTTCATGCATTTTATGTTCTTCTGTACTTCGATTTGGAGGAAAGGATAAATGATTATCCTTAAATTTTTTTTTTAATTTTTACCAAAAGTAAGGATGTTAATAAGGATGATAAACACATCTTTATAATGTATATTGATACCTAAAATATTTTAATTCGAAAATAAATAAATCCAAGTTAACACTTAGATTTCCTGTATTCCTTCTAAACTATGTGCATCATGGCCTTTTTGGTATTTTATTTTTATGAATAACTTCTGATCTCGCTTTTTCACAATTTATTACTTTTTCCTAAGATAAGTCCCAGTAGATTTCACAATTTCATAATTGATTAACAAATTTTTTTAATACAATGACCAGCCTTCAAGTTGTTGTTATTATAGAGTCCTCTTTGTAGTTACAAAGATTAAAGTGTTTCTAATTGTACGCATGTTTGTAGTAGGTGCAGTGCCGGTCCTAGTCTCTATACTTCCAAAGGATGATGGAGACTGAAGTCTCTAGCAGAGCCCATATGTTCCTACCTAGGCACTCTCAGCTAATCCTGCCTAGTCAGCATTGGTTGTTGGTGCTCTCTTCTGCAACCAGTCTCCCCAGGCGTGTTAGCGGTAGGTAATGCTGAGGACCTCAAGAGACTCCTTGAAGCACTGTTTGATAAGAGCTCAAACTGTCAGTTGTTGGAATCTGTTCTCTGAACAGTGAGACTTTGTAACATGAAGCCCCCTAAACTGATGTAGGGCTGGATCTCAGATGGAGGGAGGTGGGGGGGGGGGGGGGGGGGGGGGGGGGGGTGGGGAGAAATCTTTCCCAGAAAAAAGAGAGATTATTAGTGTGTGTCTGTGTGTGTGTCTGTGTGTGTGTGTCTGTGTGTGTGTCCATTAATACAGGAGAATCTTCTAAAGTGCTGAGGCTGTTTGTCTACTCCTCCGTCAAAATATCTATTGATATTATAAAGAATAATAAGCCAAAATAATTGTCATCACATCTTTTATGGCTCTTAATGGACCTCTTGTGACTTAAATGTTTCATCAGTGATGACAATGCTTGGCTGAGGCCACAAGGAAGTCATCTCCAGAGCATTCAATAGTATTCGGTGCGTAGAAAAGGAGAGAAAAAACTGGGGCCACGGATGAGTTTCTGCTCTTGGCTTCTCGCTTGGGAGCAACGATCTTTTTGATGTTAGTTTCATAGGCCTTCGCGCCCCGCCCCCCCGTCGCCCCCCGAAACAAAACAATGCTTTGTTTCAGATTATTTCTCCCATAAACAGTACGCGCCTTTCTTCATCCTCTCCGCTGATCATCATTGAGGCTACCGCTGATCATCATTGAGGCTACCACCAGCCAGACATCCTAAACTTTCTCACTTAGGCTGGGCCTCGGAGTCCCGGGGGTTCTAGTCATTTTCCTGGCTGTAACATAGGTGTCCATCACCGTACTGGGGCGCAAGAGCTGCAGAGAAGCCAAGAAAACTTTCCTCTTACCCTTAGCATCTGCTGTCAGTGTAAACACCGAGTTAAGAATCTTTGCAGCAGCGACTGCACTTTGCGTCCTGGGCTTTATCCCCACCACGCCCACCCTGCCCGCACACACCCTCGGATCTCGCTTTCCGCAGACCCCATCTCTGTCCTGTCCTTGACTGCCGCTTCTGGGTACGCCTAAAGGCTCTGCTGCCGCCTCCGCCTGCGCTGCGTTCCCCGCGTTAGCGCTGGATTATTCCAGTCTTTGAGCATGGCAGATTTCCACCGGATGACATCATGGGAGCTGAGTGAGTGCCGGCTCCGAGAGGGGGACGGAGAAGGGGAGGGGGAGAAGAGGAGGGGAGAGGATTGGGAAGCAGAGCCAGAGCCCGGCTGCCCGCCACCCAGCTGCACGTCCGCAAGCTGGGGAGGAGCACTCCGCCTGCTATTGACAAAGGATGGGAGGATGCCTGCGCCCCGGGATGCAGGTTATGCGCAGCCTGGCGGCTGCCTGAGCGACTTCGCCCTCCGCCGGTGAGTGATTGCAAAGATCATTCAATTAACCTCGCTGTGAGCTTGCACCCTCCTTGGCTCGCGGTCCCGGGCGCCTGCGTCCTTGACCCCAAGCGGGGCTTGGCACGGCACTAGACCTCGAGCACAGGCAGCAGGTGCCTTTGCCCGGTGGGTCCGCAGAGGAGCTAAGGCTCCTGGCTGGGGTTCATGGTGGATGCTGGGACCCAACTCCTTATCGGCGGGCTCGCCCTGTCAATGCGGCTCTCATAAGTGGAGGCTGTTCCAGCCGGCTGCCAAGGGTAGTTACCTCTGTTGGCACACCAGTGACCGCCCTGCGCGTAAGTCGTTTTCTGGTGGATCCCAGTGCGCGACGCGCTGTTTACACCAGCTTCATACTAGTCACCGAGCCGCACCCCTCAAAAAGCGCGGAATCGATGAGAGCCACTTTATAGGCTGGCGAGCCACCGGTGTGGGCTTGAGAAAGTCCGGCAGGGATTGCCCAGGGAGGGCGTGCGCCACGGACCACTGAGGGCAGCCTTTGTCTTGGGTTTAGCTCTGATGCGCTTAGACCTTAGTAAGGCTCTTCGCAACTGTCGAGTCGGATCCGGGGCCCCGGCACCCACCTGCTTGGGCAAGGGGTACCATTTTGTTACTGCTGCAGGTGGGACTGAAGAGCTGGGACTTAAGACACCAGAGGTCCTTGTGCCTACGGGTGAGTGTCGCAATTACCCAGATGCAGATAGAGCTTAAGCTCCAGGAAGTGAACTGACCAATCGAGACAGATAGACATCCAAGTTCTGTTCCCAAGTGGTATGAGTGAAAGAACAAACTTAGGGAGACTCATGCTCGCCTTATTCCCCCCCCTCCACCCCCCGGTTTCTGAGGCATGTCCAGTATATAGTTAGGGAGAGCCACGTCTTCCCTGGCAGTGCCTTTTGTTATTCAGTAGTTCTGCAAGAGGTTTGCTTGCCAAACCTTTTTGAGATTGGTATCTGTTCTATTACCGGGCTTTGTGAGCTTAAAGAGAAAAGATTTGGAACTTGCTCAGGTACCTTGGTGTAGAGTTGTGCTGCGTGTAAGTGCTAGAAAGCCAGTACTCACGCCTCGTTACCTATCGGTTCAACGCAGTTTTATCAATGGATTTCTTCTGTTTGGGAAGGATCTTTTTTTCAGATCACAGAGAAGTGGCGATAACTGTTGGAATATTTGATTTAGTTTTCAGTTTATTTCCTGAAGGAACACATTGCGAAAAGGATGTATGGAAGTCAAAGTTTGCTACTTTGGAGTTCTGTTACTTTTGGGGGAATTTCATCCACTGCAATCTAAAATGTTTAAAATTTTAAGAGCTATTTCATATTCATGAACTTAGTGTATAACAAACGATCCTTGAATACCCAGGTGACTTTTGGTATACAAGTTTGATATTCCAGCATCTAACATAATGCTAGGGTATAAGAAAATAACAGTCACAGTTATAACTGAAAAGATCATTTTATTTTTGTTTTTCTCAAAAAGGCTTACTGGTTTTCCTTTAGATTGTTTATCTTTCTCTAAAGATAGATGATCCTAGTGAAACTTCTTCAAACAGAAGTATCAAAGTAAACTTTCTTGATCAGTGATTGCTCTTCTGATAAAATTTGAGGTCTTTTCAGAACAGACGTGATAGAAAATTATTGGAATAAGAAACGTGGCGGAAATAAAAAGGAACTGGGTGAGATAATAGAGGGAGGGTTTACTAGATATAAATAATGAGATTAAGATGAGTATGAGAGGATGTTTTGCTTTTAGAAAAGCTCATTGTAGCTTTTACACTCTTTTCTGTCCTTCCACGAAGTTCATAATTAAATGTTTGATTATGTTATGTTATGTTGAGAGACCAACATTATGATCTGAGAGAGTTTACCTTTATTCAGGATTTCTGGGGTTAGCAGCAACATTTCCTTCTGTGATTCAGCAATAATTTTTATTTTATTGTTTGTTTCCTGACTTCTTATCACAAAGGGCTCCACCTATTTCTTCAAAAGTTTTATTTTTTTTCTAACTTTATTATACTCATCTCTTTATAGTAAAGCTTAAGGAGCTTTACAGGAAGATTCTTAGAAAACCTGTTGCTCATATTGGCTGCTTTTCTTAAATATTATAATAAAGCCTCTTTTTGTATCTAGCCTAGTGAACATATGGTCTACTGATGTGTTTATGTGGAGCTGCACCTAACATGAAAACATACATTTATGTTATATATATATAAATAAAATCTCAATTAGACAGGTGACAAAGCAGGAGGTTCATGGTTTTTGGCAAATGATGTTTCCTTTAACAATAAGATATTTTACCCCCTGTATGTGGTAAGTAAAAATAGACATTAAAGATAATAAGTTATATTTTACGTATGAAATTTTTAATTTTATTTTAAAAATTTTTATGCAAGTCAAAAATGGTCTGATATTTTACTACATGATACTAAAATATGTAATAAAAGTCCTCAGAAAGTATAAGCATCTTATAAATCCAAATGATTTGATAGAGTTGATAGGTAGTACAATGTTATTTTAGAAAACATGTCCTTGAACTAGAGATTATTCTCATAATGTTCATTAATGTAGCTCACAAGTGTTTGGATTGGGAAGAGGATAAAGTTGTATTATAAGGCAAAACAAAGCTATGGTATATTGTTATATAGAGTATGGTATATAGAGTAGGCAATAGTGATGTTTCAAGGTCATGGAACAGGAGATTATGTCAGAACATTGGAAGATTTCCAAGAAAAGATTGTGTAGGAAGAATAAGTTTGTAATGTTTGTTGGCCTCTTGCTTTCATTGTTCCAATTGTTTGATTTGAACAGATATTATAGGATGTCTGTGATACAGTGAAACTGTCTTCACCTTCCTTGAGGCAAAATTGTATTGTTGAACTCAATCAGAAGTTTATTTTATGGGCTTTTCCATGATGTAATTCAAATTCTAATTTAAGAATGCTTTATGGATCTGAAAACATTGTGATTTTAACTTGTGCAGGCCTTTGATATGGAAATGGATCAGTAAAACCTTTTTGGCTGAAAGGTTTTGGCCTCTTGGCTTCTTCTGAAATTCTGTAAAGACTGAAAGCCAACAGTAATGGGACTGTTGAAAATATTCAAGAATATGATGATATATTATTCATTGGGTTAAGATAATATTAATGGAGTTTTTAAAAAATAAAATTAAAGAAAATTAAAAAAAAATTAAATTAAAGAAAATTTCCATAACCCCAAATTATTTCTTTGTTATATATTGGACACATTTTGTAACTTAATGGACCTGTATGATACTGTTTATTCATTTTCTACTTTTCAGGGTCAGAATGATGACTACAGGGTAGGAATATGTTTTCTAGTTTTGACTTTGTCATCCAATTGAGGATAAGTCTCTGAACCTCTTGAATGTTAGTTTCATTTTACATTAAATACAGATGACAATATCTGTCCTGCTTTTCTCACAGGGAATGGTGCATAGTAAATGAGCTAATATGCAAAAGTGATTTTGAAAACATAGAACTATCTAATGAATATTATCTATTCATTAACTTTTAACATCTAGATATTTTTAGTTAAAATAAATTTATGTAGAGGTGAATCTAGTTTGTGATTTGTATTTTAAACACCTGGTATTTTTAATGTGTCATTCTTGATAATTTATTTTTTATAATATATCATAAAAATTGTTAAGCAGCTTGTTGTATATCTTTTTTATTGCAAGTTTGCAGACAAGTTCTCTCATTTTTTATGTGTTCAAAATACTTTTATACAGTCTTCCTATTTAAAGAATATTTAAGCTGAGTATGGAATTATTTGGCAGTTATTTTCTTTCGAAGCTTTGACTTATTATTCTTTTGACTCTGCCTTCCATCAAGCCAGTTAGTCTTATTGTTGCTTTGAAGATAATATGTCTTTGTCTCTCACTGATTTTAAGATTTTTCATTTATCTTTATTTTTCTTCAGTTTTACTATGATGTTCCTAGGTGTGGTTTTCTTTTTATTTATCCTTCTTAGAGTTTGCAGAGCTTCTTGAATCTGTGGATTGATATATTTCATCACATGAAATTCACTGGTAAATTCTTATTGTATAGCTGTACTCCATTCTGTCTCCTTTCTTTTTCTAAGCTCTCAATTATGTATTTAACGCATGGTTTCACTGTGCCCAGCATGCTTCTTATACTTGTTTCACTATTTTTTACTCTATGCTTTCACTCTATGCTTGTTTGAATATTTTCCTTTGATTTTTTTCTCTCAGTCAACCAACTTTCTTTACACTATGTTTATTCTGTCAGGCTCATGGATTATTACTCTAATTACTGTATTTTTTCAGTTTTCAAATGTGCATTTCATTCTTTTCTATGGATACCACTTTGCTTTCTCCATCTTTTGCTTTGTTACTTTGAATATACTGATCAGAATTATTTTAAAGTTTTCGTCTGCCAATGCCAATAATTAGATTACTGTGAGCTTCTTTTCAGTGTCACTCTTTACTCTTGGTTTTTGTAATTGTGTATAAAAAATCGTAGAGGCTCCAGATGATTTATCCAAGTCAAAAGAGTTGTCACCATTTCTTCTCCTAGGCAGATAAATGGAGAAGTGGCCAATCATAATCCAGTCAGTGACTGAGCTGACTTAATAGACTTCTTTCCCTCCTGGGCACCTGAGCTGCTAAGCATATCCAGAGCCTTCCACTGGTGCAGTCACAAATACTAAGCACAATTTAGGGCAAAACTTCTGAGAATCCTGCTATTCTTTTCAGAACCTTACTTCTTAGTGTCTTAGCCTCCAATCATATGTTCAATTTCAGGCATCAGCAAATGTCATGTGGGTAAAATTAGGCATGTGTCAGCCTGATGCGTCATCATTTCTCATTGGAGTCTTGGTCCCTCCTATCTCTATTTATTTTTTAAATCTTTAGCCCCACAAGACTGCCAAACTTTCTTCTGGATTCTCTGTTCTACGTTAATGGTCCTCTTCTCAGGCAAGCCCATATTCTCCGCCTCTCTCTTGCTGTGTGTCTAGATTAGCAAATATCTTCACTCTCCATTCCATGGGGGATAAAAATTACCCTCAGAAATTCAGCTTACCTCTTTGATGCTTCCTCCATGAGGAATCTTGAAGCTTCTAGTTTTGACTTCTTCAGAAGTTCCAGTAGATTTTTAAAAAGATTTTTAAAAATTATATCTGGCTTTTCTAGTTGTTCTTGGTGGTAGTTATTGGTCTACTGTGAGTTACTTCACCATAACTGTCAGCTGAAGTGGGTCATTATTTTTCACCAGTTACAAAAATAGATGTACAGGGATGCAAGATCATTACTTGGTGATAAAACTGGTGTTAGTAGTCCAGCCTACAGGCTCCTAGAAATACAACTAACACCAGCCTCGTTTGATTTTTTTCTTCCGGTTAACCAACTTTCTCGTTTGATTTAAAGAAGTGTTATTAAAAGAGACCAGATTCTACTAAAGAGTTATATTATGTACAATATGGTTTGGAGACAGTTTGTTTATTCCCTTTTTGAGGTAGAACTTAGTAGCAGCCGTGAAAGCCAAAAAATGATTCAAAACTGGTAAATTCAAATTCATGGTAACTAAACATAAGAAATTGGCAAACCTAGCAAACCTATTCTTTCTTTCCCTTAGGAGTGATACACACAACACACACACACACACACACACACACACGTACACACGGTAACTCTTTTCTGAACATAAGCACCCCATGATTTAAGAATCATCCTAACTTAAAAATGAATTCCACATAAAGAGAGTGAATAATGTGGGAATTCTGGAGCCTTCCCCTACTTTAAAACCATCTTCCTTTGTTTTTTAAATTGTTACTCTGAAAAGCAACTGACATAAGCGGATATCTTGTCATATGCATATAATTGACTTAAGAAGTTAATAGTATATCAACTTCTTTTCTTATTTGTATATGGATAACACTCAGAATATATCCAGAAGAAATGTTACAAATAGAGTTGTTTTAGAAATAATGTATTTAACAATATACTTAAACCTAAGGTAACTATATTTCTGTGGATTAGCCTAGAATTTTTGTTAAATCTGTCTAGTGATGGATGGATACTCAAAGTGAATTAAAGTATGTAATGCCATTTTTACATGGTTATATATTCCAGATGACATATTAGAAATCTCTGACATTTGGGGACACAATCAAATGGAAGTTGGAGAATGCTTGGAATGGACTCTTTTGCCTGCCTTCCAGTGTTCTAAGGTACATTAGGAAATTCTTTGAAGCTTGGTGGGAGGAAATTCTTTGAAGCTTGTGCTATGGTGTTACTGACTCATTATTTGGAGCTGACATTCTGATGAACAACGTTTTGATTCTCATAGGATATATCACATGCCTTACATCTTTTCAGCCTCACTTCCGATTCTGTCGATGATTCTTAAAAACATTGTTAGGCAGGCTGTGACTCAGTTGTGATGACTTCTCACCTTGAGCTTGTGCTGAGTATCTTTTACTTTATGCTCTGTGACTTTATCAGCATGTCTTATGTCTCCCTCTGCCCTGGAAGTGCAGCCTAGATGCGGGGAGGCACTAATATCACTTAGGGAACCCCTCCATCAGTGGGAATTGGTGGGCAGTCCTGAGAGAATTTTTGTAGTTTCTCAGAAGGTCCAGGTCGGATGGAACCTCAGTTGGGCATGATAATAATGACCCAACTCCATACACTTGTATTGGCTTTTATTCTTTCTCTGTCTTACTTTATCTGGTACTTTATTCTAACTCTCTGGAATCACCTTCTACTATTTACATACAGATTTTAATTTCAGAATCTGCTTTTCAAGGGAACTTGGCCTAAGATATATAATAAATTGGTTTTTCTTCTCTAGAGGGAAATTTTTAAAGAAGTGAAAGAAAAATAATCAGGACTAAAAGCCTAAGCCACATCCATTTATAATGAGAGAAAAATGATAAATCTGAAACTATGTATTTCTCTCAGGTATATATATATGTGTGTATATATTTTTTTTCAAATTCATTATCTTTCAAGGCAATGAATAAGGCCTTTTAAATAATTCTTTTAATAACTATGAGGTCATCTATTGACCTAAAGATTAATTTCTTTCCTTCTTTTCTTTTTTACTTTCTTTTTATTTATATCGACTGGCAGTCTACTCTATGCCCTGTTCTCAGTCAGGTAGGTCCTGGTGATATAATGAGTAAAAAAAATGCGACATGATTCCTGCCGCTTTGGAGAGTTTTACTTCCATGACATTTGTTAAATATTGACACAAATAAGTGCCATGTGCGAGAGAGAATGCATTGAAGGACCTAGTACACACTGCTGAGTTTGACTTAGGGAGGTCTGGGCAAGCCTCCTTGAGGAGGTGACACTTGATCTGACATAGAAAGGATGAAAACAGTTAATAAGGTGGGGAGAGAAGGGAAGAGTTTTCCAACAGGGACAAATTAAGTATGCTCAAGGCCCTATTGATGGCAAAGCTTGGCAGTTTTGAAGGCGTTGGCCTGAAGGAGGAGTGCGATGTGGGTTGAGATGTACCAGATACGAGGGACAAGGGACTGTCCCAAAATGTTTTAAATATTAAAGAATGAAGAGTATGTGCAATTGTGTATATGATCAAATGTGAGTGTGTTTGTGTGTGTGTGTGTGTGTGTGTGTGTGTGAGAGAGAGAGAGAGAGAGAGAGAGAGAGAGGGGGAGAGAGAGAGGTGGTGGTGGTAAGGAGGGACCTTACAAATAAATGAGATGATGCATCAGCAAAAAAGAAATAAATGACAGATCTGGGTAGAAAACTGTATGTTATTAGATATTAATATAATAATATTAAAAGTTGTGAGCATATTAAAAGTTATAAACATATTTAACAAATATTAAAAGTTATGCACATTTGAAAAATATGAGAATTATAGGAATCGATAATTTTAGGTTACTGCATTTCTACATAAACAGAGATGAAAGAAAGGAGATTAAAATATTTATTCATTATTGCTCAATTTTATTCATCCTGGCTTGCGATGCTACCATCAAATACCATCAAAACGGTACGAGGCTTTTAAAGGTCTGTATATCTCAGTAATTTTACATTGTTATAAAAAAAATTACATACTTTTACTAGTTGTCTGTTAATTTTCAGGGTTGTAGAATTGTAAGTGGACTTTTAAAAAAGTATTTCAACTAAAATTCTACTTGAGATTGATTTTAATAGTGTAGCACAGCGTCTATATAGTTGCTACTGAAGCATGGTACATAGCCACATTTAATTACTTAGTCCCAAGTCAGTTCTTGTACTTAGGTTTTGATAAAATTAAATTGTCTATGTACTCTTACAAGTCTGGAATCTGGTTCTGCTAATTTCTCCCGAATTTGAAACTCAAGAAACTAGAGACAAATTATTTTCCATTTAGGGCCATATTTCCTTAAATATTTCTTAGCAATTTTGCTTTAATAGACCCAAAGTTATATTCCAGACACAGTGTGAAACGACCCTTTAAGGTTTAGCATAACATATGCAATAGCTCTTGCCAGCTATCCTCTCTTTTCTAATGAGATAACTTGGTTTATTTTTCTAGGCTACTTTTAAACTTAATGTTCTGTGAAATCTCTTAATTTCTAAATATGTTTTATTTTAAAAGCATTTAATAAATAAATGATAAACAGATATTTATTCATTGATTATCATGAAAGAAAATTTGGGGCCATGAACAGTAACAGAGAATTAATTGGGCCAATTCTTAAGGTATTGAATAAACAAGTATAAGATAAAGAGTGGGATTTTTTGATTTGTTCCTTATGACGTTCATGGTAGAAGATAACCACCCTTAGAAAAACAAACTCAGAGAAAAATCCCCTCCTTTATTTTTTGTAGACCAAAAATTATAACACAGAGCACTATTTCCATTGACTGTCATTATGAGGATGAACCGCAGTTGTCAACTTGTAGACATTATTAAAAATAATGCAAAACGTGTTAAAATTTTCCCATCACACATTACCCAGTAACCCCCAAAACCCAAAAATATATTCTGGGGACATGTGAAAGGGACCTTAAGTATTAGGAGTCTAATTACAACAGTCTGTTTTTCTTTAAAAAATAAAAAGAAGGATTTCAAAATGTTGATAGTGGTCATAGGACTGTCGTTAGTTTTTTTATCCTACTTTTATTTTCCAAGTGCATTTTAATAAGTATGATTTATTTTTACGATAAAAATGTAAATAAATACTTCTTGAGTGAAAAAAATGAATATCTGAAGGAAAACTTTAAAATGGTAATTTTTGTTAAATCTAAATAGTTTCCTTGTGGGTGTTTATTTTTTGACACTTTTCTGCATGTGTATATATTTTTAATGATAAAATTATATAGAGAGAAAAATGATGTGGAAGAATCTTCTATTCCATGCTAAGTTAAACTCTATGAAGATACAGCTAGTGCGACAATTTCTTTGCCTCTCAACAGTATAAGAGGCAACATGTGTTTGGTTGTTTCTTACTCAGATCCAAGAATTACTATTTGTTTTAAATAAATTGTTTTAAAAGACATTATAGATTATTCTCACTAATTTGTACTAATAAATAAGTAAGAGAACAATTTAATATTCCCAAGTTTTACCTTTATGTGTTTTCGTGAAGAGCAAAGAGTAATCTACATTTTTTTCTCTCCTCCCTGCCCCCCGCTTTTTTTTTTACCGGTGGTGACAAGGGTGTAGATTACAGACAGACTTTTCACTCACAAGCCCCTAGACCTACTCACTTAGCAGCTGTGGTGTGAATTGGATCATATCTACTTCACCATGTAGATGCTGGGCAATAGCTATTATAGCTTCTAAGGATGGAATGCTTTTATGTTACTTTTTCTTCAATGAAAGAAAAATTATTACACTTTAATTATTATGCTTTACTGGGGGGAAATATTTGTTATATAAACAACTTTTGAAAATAGATTTTAAACAGAAAGACTCAGTTTCCCTGTTAAAAGAATGGGAAACAGTGGTAGTTGGAAAAAGCTCAGACTCTAAGCCATATTGAGCAGTTTTGAAATCACCACTCACCAATGAGAAGACACTAGTCAAATATCCCTTTGGGATAGTGATTTCTTTGCCTTCAGATGTATACACAGAAGTGAGATTGCTGGATCATGTGGCAGTTCTGTTTTTAAGGAACCTATGTACTGAGGAACCTATGTACTGTTTTACATAATAGCTGTACAAGTTTACATTCCCATCAAGGGTATACAAATGTTTCCTTTCCTCCACATCCTCACCAGCACTTGCTATATCTTGTCTTTCTGATAACAGCCACCCTAACCACATGTGAGGTGATGCTGCATTGTGGTTTTGATTTGCAATTCTCTGATTAATGGTTAGGGATATTGAGCACCTTTTCATGTACCTGTTGGCCATTTGTATATCTTCTTTGGAAAAATGTGTATTCATGTCTTCTGCTCATTTTTAATTGGTCTGTAAAAACTTTTCACATATAAATTTGAAACAGAATGGAGCACATGCATGTTTTATGTAAACTAAATTGTTTTCTTGTGGAATTTACTGTTAATAAGGCTTTTATTTCCTGGAGTAAAGTAAAAGGACTGTTAGGGTCTAGGGCAATGGTGTATGCAACAAGAGTCTATATAACCAAATCAGTCATTTTTTAGGTGTTGTGAGAAACGATTCTAACAATTATGTTTTATAGGAAAACATATTTCCAGAAAAACAACTGGAACAAAAATGAGACCGTCTGGTAGGATCATAACTAATTATACATATACATATATATACATACATATGTATATATATATAAAGTTGGAAGGTGATGCTATTAGTAGATGAGTTTCTAGCCACAGCAAAAGTTTGTCTCTATCGCTCCCTAAACTGTGTTAAATATTGTTATATAAACTTCCTGTCATTTTATACCTTTGATATTTTCTTCCCGTCTCCACTCACTAGCCTTTGATAAATCACAAATCACTATTTAAATTTTAACTAGTTATTACTTTGTGTTATATAAGAAAATTCTCCACCTTCTCTGGGAAATAAAATGTGACTGGTTTCCAATACAGTTAGTGTCTGTGTGTTAGTAAACTTTGGTAAAACTTTATTGATGGAGGTGGAGTTTCCTATAGCTCCCATATAGCCTTAACCTTCATCCACATAAATCACAGACTCCCTAAGCTCATGTCCCTCAGATATTAGCAAAATCCCCTCCTTTATTTTTTGTAGACCAAAAATTATCCACATAAATCACAGCCTCCCTAAGCTCATGTCCCTCAGATATTAGCAATTTAACAAAAACACTTGTTCATTTAGATTCTTTTGGTGTGGAATACACCACTGTTTTCTTCCAATAGTTCAGATAACAGAGAGTTGACCATTTTAAATCAAAATAGAATTCTTGGCATGTGTTTGCAGAATTATGTTTTAAAGTATGTGTATCTCTGTCTTAGAGATAATCAGGCACATAACTGTCCATAGGTTTTAGATATTATTCAGTATTTTTTGGAAAATATTTTCTATTTAAGCCATTTTCTTTATTTGTTCACCTACTATATCTTTTACTTCTATATCCCAGGAATACTTAAATTTAAACCACATATTTGATGATAAAGCCCTTTGGCATTTATTGGGGGTGGAGGCAGGAACATGAGCCTGTCTTAGAATTCTACAAATGTGTAGTGTACCCATGAGTTTTCACACTTTAGATTTATGGTAATGCTCTTGGGCCAACTTGGCAGGATACACAATTAAACTTGTTAGTGTTCATTTTGTAAATGAAATTAAAGTACATAGTTTATGGTCATTATAGTATAATGTTTCGTATGTAATTTCAAAATTCATTCCAAAAGTTTGTATATGTTAAAGGCAAAGTTCTGCCTTAGTAAGTTACCTTTTAAAAATATACATGTTAAAAAGAGAAACCTCAGAAAGGCATGACAAGTGTTAATGTTTAATTATGCTACAGTAAATCCTCATGGTGAAGGATTCTTTTGAGGATATACAGCTCCTCCTACCAAAAATAGCTTCCTTGGCTATAGTAAAACACAGGCAAAGCTCCTAGTTGCACGAATGTATACAAAAATGAGAGATCACAGAGGCATGTTCAAGGGAGGGAGCGAGGAGGAGGCAGGAGAAGGAAAGATTGGGGGGAGGAGGTAGGGGGTAGAGAGGAGAGAGAGGGAGAGAGAGAGAGAGAGAGAGAGAAAGGCATACTCCATTCCCAGATAAGTGGAAATTGAAATAGATATTGCAGATATTTTATAGTGTCCATAATGTAGACACAACTTCTCTTATAGATTTATATGGTACCAATCCATATATTAGCAAATTAGAAAGTATGACAACAGCTGGAGTTAAAGGAGGATGGTAGTTGATGAAGGATCTAATTTAATTTGAACTTTGAATGAAGTAGACAATAAGAATAAGAATTCTTGTAATTAATATCAAAGCTTTGATATAAGGAAGTACCCATTTTGAAAGGCAAATGTGGAGCATAGAACATTGTGGGAAAGAGAAGAGAGTTAGCTAGTAAAACATCAGAAGAGGAAGAAAATACAGTGAGGACTAAGATGGTTATGTTTCAGCCATTTTTGGCCAAGTGTTTCACGGTGACTTTATGTGGAGAGATGATCATTAAGACCAGAACCAGTGTATATCATTAGATGAATTTTATAGATATTGGCTTAAGTTAACTCATTTATCAATAAACCATATGCATATGGTTTACTACCAGTTGTGACTTCAGGAATTCTCCACTAAGTATTTCTGTTTCTATAGAATTAAGAATTAATCCTTTCAGCTGTCATTGTAAACAAGCATATGAAAATGATCATTGCAATTGAAATTTGGGTCCTGTAGCGGGAAGAACAGTGCAGAAGTCCGTTTACCACAACGTACTCCAAGCACATTCATGGGCTACCTGAATCAGAATCTTTGGGAAGAGCTAATAAAATGCAGAACCCCATCTCAGACCAACTGTTTGGGTGGATCTGAGAAATCTACATTTAACCAACTCTCTGGGTGATAACTGTACACAAAGAGACACAACTTTATAGAACGCCGTCAGAATAAAGCCTGTTCCTGTTGGAGTATGGACACATACTACGGTGGTACAATAGGCATTTTATTTTGTCTCATTTTTCTTTCAAACATTTCTCCCTCAAACCATTTTAAAGTGCAGAAATAATAGAGACATAAATATCTACAAATACCAGGAATGTTTGTTATGGATTCTTTGGAGACTAAGACAACCCCGCCCCCTCTTCACTCAGCAGGGGACCAGATGCCTGAGAAGCCATTTTGCCCTAGGAAGCATCACAAGTAGCCACCTGCCGTGTTAAACATATTGCAAAACCTGGGGAAAAACAGATTTTTTTTTTCCAGTGGATAAAGCTGGAAGCTTTTATCTTGCAGATAACATTAGTGGGAGAAAAGCCAGTGGCTCTGCTGGGTCACGAAGTCTTCATTATGTTGCTTTTGTTGATGATTACACACAAGAACAAGCAAGTGTTGCTGCAGTAGATGCCTCATACCTGCCTGGAATGCAGATTGCATGGGATAGTCCTGAAATATGCCACTTTTAAAAATCTCTGTAAGTGGTTCTCAGATTTTGGTGTGAATCATACTACTTTTAGAACCGCTGAAAGCCTAAATTCTAGGCCCCACTCCCAGAGATTTTGACAGTTTAAATAAGAACAACAGTCTGTCATTTCCTCAGTGACCTGTGTCTCGCAGAGAGTTGGACTTATAGGTGGTAGCTAAAATGAAAGCATATGTAATAGCACTATCAGTACTTAGAATATTTTTAAAAATACAGACTTTGTTACAGCAAAGAGCTGTAATTTTAAAAAAGCTTTGGAGGGTGCCTCATTTATTTCATACCATAGAAAGTACGTTGAAATTGCAGCATGAAAATAATTTGAATATTCTGTCATGTATACAATTGGTTAAACTGTATATATTCATCTTATTCTAATCGAATATGAACTATGGACATTTTGATTTACTTACCAGGAGTAAGTAAACCAGGAGTAAGAACTTCAAATGAGCTTAATTGGGCATCATACACTTTAGAAGATGTTTCTTCTCAACAGAAGCAGCAGCTGAGGGTTTTGTCTTGGCAGGTAGCAGAAGTGGTAGCTTAACTGAAGGGTCTCACTTCAGACAGACCTGCTGAAGTTTGCTTAGAGCTTTTAAATGTATCAGACAACAGTACTGAAACAGTGGCCAATGAAAGAGTGAATTCCTTCCAAAACATCACTTCATGAATAGAGCACTATCTTAGAACCACCACACACGCAATGACACACATCACTGGAGTTAATAGAGTGCTTAAAGGCACGATGCGAATGTCCACATTTTCTGAACATTCTGTAACAGCTGGGTGCAAAGCAACAGAATTGCTTTCCTATTAAATACACCTATTGCAGCAGCAATGTTTACTCTGAATTCCCAGAAGAAAACAAAAAGCTTCGTTTTGGTAATTTAAGATTGTTTCTGGAGTAATTACAAAAACTTTCTTAAATGGACTGAGATAGAATGTATTACCATATCTCCCTTCAAATATTTTAAAGAAAGTGCCATTGCTGTCAGAGTACATGGAGAAAAACTAAATGACCTTTGGAGCTTTCTTTTACATTTCTATGTTTTTATATTTTTAAATTTATATTTAATATTGAATATCCAATATTATCGATAGTTAGAAAAAGCCTATTCTTTAGTATTCAATAGTATTTTGTTTCATATACTGTGCTGAACTTGGTTTAATAGTCAGAAAATAGATTTCATTTTCTTGGGATGACATTAATAATTTTAATTTAATTACTAACTTTTTACAACCCGATGATCTTATGCACTGACTTCCTTCCTTGATGATATCTGCTTAAATGATAAACTACTTAACCAAGTCTACCAATTCCCATTTATCAAGAAGAATATCAGCTTATATTTCCTTTTCACTCTTTTTATGTTCCCAAAGAAAAAAATCATGTTGAATATCACTTATGTTTGTAAAATTAATTTCAGATATCCTGTTTAGTAAGTCTTATTTTGAAATTTTTGCCCTTCTGTGTCTTATCTCAGTTTTTTTCTTAAATCCAGCCAAGGTTTTTTTAATCTTCTAATTTTTTTGTCTGGTGCAAAGGAAAAAACCCTGCGGACTCCTGTCCAGATTTGCTTGGCCAGTAACTTTCTCATTAGCATTTTTGCCCCTCAGTCACAGTAGCTATCTCAGATTGTCCACTTATGACCTCTGTCTACAGTCACGCACCCCTTGATGATGGGGATACGTCGGTGAGGTGATTTTGTCACGCAAACATCAAAGAGTGCACTTACACAAACCTAAATGGTGTGTCCCACTACTGCAATTGTATGTGCTATACTTTTATACTGCTGGCAGTGCAGTAAGTTTGTTGACACCAGCATCACCATAGATACATGAGTGATGCATTGAACTATGACGTTATGACAGCTACAACATCACTTGGCGATAGGAATATTTCAGCTCCATTATAATCTTATGAGCCCACCATCGTGGACTGTTGTTGACTGAACGTTTGTTATGTGGTGATGACTGTATTTCTGGTCATTCTAAGGATTCCTGGAGCTCCTGGCACTCATGCATCTAAGTCTTCACTACTTCACTAGAGCAGATGTTCCCTAGGTGTTCACAGGGAAGACTCCACAAGGTATGTTCTGACTCACACCTTGGGCTCTAGTTGTATACTGTGGACTGACTTCTGAGCTCAAAGTTGTGGGCACCTTCATACCCTCCTGGGGAGTGATTCATATTCCGTTTCTTAGGAAAAATAGCTGCACTATATAATTTCTGCAAGCTTTCCCTCTCTTTCTTGAGTCTCACTTTGCCACCTGTCACCTGATTACTAGGAATTTACAGACTCTCTGGGAGAGTCTGCAACTCTTCCTGATGCCACGATCCCTTCCAGAAAATGGATATTTCCCTTTCCTTCTGAAGTTTCGGGGAAAAGAATATTTCTCAAATATCTGTTTTGTATAAACTTATTATGTAGCTGAAGGTTTTATTTTGTCAATATTGGGGAGGACAGAAAAAACCTGTTTTAGTTTTTATGAATCACAAGGATTTTACTGATTGACACAGTATTATAATAAAATGATAACTCGCATTCATTTTAGAATGCCTCTGTCACTAGAGGATTCTGACTTTTCTTCTGCACTGAAAATTGAATTATAATCAGAACTATTCTTAAATGTATTTTACTACATTATAATTTTTTCAATTGGCATTTCTTATATGTGTTATTGTAACCAGAGGGCAACTGAGTCAGGGGCTCATGCTGCCTGCGCTGCTCAGCCAACAGACCGACACAGGTGTTGGGATCTTCAGAATAAGCATTTATTGTCAGAGCACTGGTGATCTGAGAAGGCAGCAGGTTAACACCTTCAAAAACTGCCTTGCCTTCTCAGTTGGGCTTAGGGTATTTAAGGGAATATCTTGGCATTATTCCAGGAGCTATGTGATGGTTGGGGATGCGGGGGATTGGTGGGGGGAAGCTGTTTTGTTTCACGGAGCCTCCCTCTGACAGTGTAGTCCTCCAGTGGTGTTAGCAACCCAGGAGCAAAGATGGGAGCAGTCTGGAAAGAATGCCAGACCAGAAGAATTATGATCAGGAAGCATAAGGGCATTAATCATAAGTTTCAGGGCAACTTTTTATGGCAGGGGACGTTCCAAGCTCTGGATCAAGCCACTGGGGACAATCTATTGTTAAGCTATAGGGCAAGGAAAAGTGAAGCTGGTCATGCTGTAAGGCCTTTACTATGGGGGTCCCAACCAGGCCCTTCTTCACTATATGGGTATTGTAGGCTGAATAATGCTCCCTGCCCTAAATCTCCATTTTCTAATTCCCAGAACCTATGCATGTTACCTTATATATGGCAAAAAGAACTTTGCAGATGTGATTAAGTTAAGGATCTTGAGAAGGGGAGGTTATGCTCAATTATCTGGGTTGGCCAAATGTTACCACAACAGTCTTTATATGAGGGAGACAGGAAGAATGAGAGAAAGAGGTGTGAGGACAGAGATAGAGAATGAAGTGATGTGCTTTACTGATGGAAGAAGAGGCTGTAAGCCAAGGAATGCAGGTGGCCACTAGAAGCTGAATATGGCAAGCAAACAGGTTCCGTCCTCACAGCCTCTAAAGTCTAGAATGAACCAGCCTTGCTAACACCTTAACCTTACCCTGGTGAAACTGATTTTGGATTTCTGACCTCCAAAACTGTAAGATAAATTTGTGTTGCTTTAAGCACTAAATTTATGGTAAATATTTTAGCAACAGTAGAAAAGTAATACAGTTAGTGTAAATATGAAAGAGAACATTAGATTGCCTCTCCCTAATGATGACAGACACTATTTTAGTATACTTTGGTAAGATATGAAACTAGATTGGCACACATGATTTTTAAACATAGACTCGGCACAGTGAGGCAGTTTGTATATGTACAGCACCATGATAATAAAAATAATAGTACCTTTTTTTCTCTAGGATTATCAAAAATATGTGTATGTGTGTTTGTTTAAATATTTGTGTGCTTATGAACATGAATGTTTTAAATATATGACAAAGATTATAATTTAATCCTTATAGCTCCACAAAATATGTGCTATTATCCTAATTTTATAATGAGGAAATGGAGGTTTAGTTGACCCAAATCATTCAGTTACTGAAATCCCAGCTCCAGTGTTTCTAACTCCAAAAATCAAATATTCGTTTAACTGTATTGTCTTGTCCGTTTGAAATTTCTTGAAACCTTTTGAACAATATGTTTGAAATATTACATGTGACTTTTCTATTTTACTTCAAGTGCTAAAGAAATAATTTTTCCCTTTTTCCTCCTTGTTGTTCCCTTCATATTATATTTTTTACAAGGAACTGCTATGTACTGATAAGACATCTCTATAAGTATTATAATTCTGATTATGATATTCAAGTTCTAGAAATTACAGAGTATTCGAAACCTTAGGAAAGCCCTTACTCTTTAAAATTTCATTAATTCCAGAATCATTCTTATAAAAGGACATAAAAGCTATAATATTAGACAAAGACTGGAAAATAAATACTGTATTCTAAAAAGGATATAGGAGGAAAAAATACCACCAGACTTTATATAAAGATTCATAGTTCCGAATGAGATTGTTAGTGAAAAAAGGATACTTCAAAAATATGTGGTGACAGAAAGAAATCTAACTGTGGGAGGGGAACACACAATGCAATATATATATGCCTTACTGTTGAATTGCACACCTGAAACTTACTGGATTTCGTTTACCAATGTCATACATACATACATACATATATACATACATACATACATACATACATACATACATACATAAATCTATTTGAAAAAACAGCTGGGAGATATTGAGTGGCTGACGGTTTGATATTAACTTCATGCTTTATTTTAATGATACTGTTGGAGATGAGGAGAATGAACATGCAGAGGTCTTATAACTTTCTTCAAATTGTGCTTCTGTTCAGGAGTGGCAACACAAAATATCCTTATAGTTCATAGTCTAGCTGGCATTTTGAGAAGTACAATTAACTCTTTCCAGTCACTAGGATAGTGGTTAGAGGACATACATTACATAACAAGAAGTTCAACGCAAACTCGTTGGTGGGGGGGCGGGGGCAGATCTGTTGTGGTTAACTGACCAGAGGGTTATTGCCAGAATTGATCCAATACCTCTGACAGGGAGAGGGCTTCCCTTTTCTCCCCCACCATTATTCCATTCCATCCTGTGTGCATCAGTACTATCCCTGTGTGTCAGGAAGATTAAAACTCTTCCAGCTGGAATATCTTTAGGTGTACAAAAGCGTTACCTTGTTGGAACCTCAAAGGAGGTTTTGTTGCCCATAAGTGCATTATCCTCAGTAGACTATAAGAAGCTGTAAGACACAGAGGTTGTCTGGCTTCTTCTCTGTGATATCTCCAGTATCTGGAAGAGTGCATGAAGTACAGTAGTGTCTCAATAAATAATTTTTGAGCGTATGCATGAATTGGCCAAACATCTCCTCCCATGGTCACATATGACTAAAGACCAAGAGATTATATATTTGCTTAGGTAAGAATTGTATCTCCTGTTTGCTTTGTTTCATAATGCTTGCTTGTTGTTATTATTATATTATTAATACATTCTCTGACCATAGTTTTGCTTCTTTCTAGAAATAATATTGTTATGTAACACCCCATGTTGCTTAGAGCTCCATGTCAGATCACACTGTAAGCCTTCTCAGAAGAGTATCGATATGTTCTCTTACTATTATGTTAGGATCCTTTGTGAGGACCCAAGGAGAGCAATGTCTGCTTATAAACAAGCTATCATATATCTGAGTCTTTGGCTCCTTCAGATCATGGAAATGCACCATGAAACTCAAAATAAGTTGAGATTAGACAAATTCCAATTTTAATGTAAAGAGCAAAAGATTCTTTTTCCTATAAGTAAATGTTTTCATTAAATGAAGATTATCCCTCTTTTCCTCATTTCTTATTGCAAGGAGAGGATGGACTCTCCTTCCTTTCCTTCTTTCCCCCAAATAAAGATAGTTTGTAAATCAGCACTGACTGAAATGCAGTTTGGGCTGCTGAGCAAGATCTATACTTTTCAGTAAGGCTGATCTTCTGTAAAGAAAGTCAGGCATATTCTCTGATGCCAATTATTAGACAGAATGTCTAGATTTTTACCTCTTCCTCTTCTACCTGCTCCTAGAAAATTGTGGAAGTATCAAATTGCCATTTCCCCACCCCCAGAGACAAATGTTCAGTTTTTTTTCATTTGGTTTATTATTTCATTTTACCTGCCCTCCCTTCTCAAAATAAAATTTTAAAAGTCTGATAGGATTAGGGATAAGGCTAACTTAAATGCTGTGTACTGACCAAATTAATATATAGAATAGTATTAAATGTCATGAATACAGACATTTTTCTATTCACCTAATTAGCTCTAAAATACATATTTTTTCATTTTGTTCCTTCTAGCATGTTGGCGTTTGCTTCCAGTTTGCCCCACTGTCTCTGAATTGATGTCCTAGAAGTACCAAAACTCCTTAGTGACTACAGAACTCATAATTAACAATTTTCTTAGTACTGCTCTTCATTAAACAGCTATTAAGAATTTCATCATACATTTCATTTTAGAGACTAAGATTAGGAATATGTTTTGATTCTTCTAAGAAAAATGGCAACACAGTGGAGATATAAGAACTAAATAATCAGCCCACTTTGGGAAATGAGATAAACTGCCTTTTATCAGTATGATAAATTAAAAGAAAATAAAAATAGCTAAGAATAAGCAAAGGAAATAAATTCAGCATCATTCATCACGATGACACAGGAGGTACAACAGGCCCCTTGGAAGAGCGAGATGATAGAAGGCAACATCTGGCCCCTTTGCCTAAAAGAGATATTTGTTCCTGGCAAAGAAAAAACTTAACCACCTTCTTCATCGTTCCAGCTCTGTGGGCCATTTCTCAGCTGTGTGAGTCATCAGTGGCAGTTCTCGTTCAGCAGCATTTGGAAGGACACGTATATGCCAGGCTCAGTTCAAGGAGCATGGGAAACGACTGTAAATAAGCAAAGGTCCATGTCTCCCTAACACATTCACTTGGAGGGTAATCCCAGTGATGAATATCAGGACTGAATGAACTTTTAA